CTGGGGTTCCTGCAGTCCCAACTTGAGGGGCGTGTGGAAAAGCAAACACGGTTCTGCATGCCCCTGCAGCAAGCTTGGCCAACCTCCCCCCACAGCTAGCACCCCGCCACTTACTGTGACTGATACAGGGAACCTGGTGCTTTTATTAAACTCTTTCCTTCCCGTTTTAAGCTTAATAATAAATTGCATGTCACATTATGGCTGTGTTTATTAAAACCCATTGGCGTGGGCTCTGCTCTGCTCTGCAACAGCATTTGAATTATTGAAAGCAACCCCCCATGGAGACCTATTTGCTGCAAATGCAGGAGGATTTATTTCCATTTTGTTTATCAGGTGGCATAAGTGCTGGGTGGAGGCAGGGAAGCTGTCTTGCTGTTTTTATTTTCTCCCTGAGCCACTACAGCAGGGTGAAGAGGTGCTGTGCAGAGAGCACAAGGGAAAACACCACCCTGTCACAGAGATGGGGACAGGCTGGGGACAGGTTGGGGACAGAAGTCCTGTGGGTAGCTGCCGCTCTGCCCTGAAGGTCTCTGGCTCTGGTTGAGCTCCTCACACTTGGTTGCTCCTTTGCAGAGCAAGATTGCAGTTTACCCCTTTGCAGAGCAAGATTGCAGTGCTGCCAGCTTCCATCCAGGCACGACCAGCGATCAGCTCAGGCTGGACAAGCCTCTGCCAGAAGCCACTGATCTCCCATGGGAGATGCCCATGGCACAGAGGGACTGTCAGGGTGGCCACAAGGGGTGTTGACCCTTTTGCAAGCCTAGTTCAAAGCAGATACCCAAGGACTGCAGCTGAACATCTCCAGGCTCTGCCCCATCCCAGCTGTGCCTGCTGAAGCTACCCAAAGCCAGTGTCAAGAGGATGCTCTGGCTCTGGTGATCATCCCAAGAGAGAGTTTCATACTCCAGTGGCATCACCCCTCCCAGCAATGCAGAGATGCTGCTGGGGCAGGGCAGGGCATGGATCAGGCAGGGCTGGATTTGGGTGGTTGGGGTGCTCCAGGGATGCCCAAGGCCCCACATACCTTTGCTGGCTGCCCGGTACGGTGACAGGGCTCGGCATGGCCGGTGGCTTTGCCAGGAGATGGCACTGTTTAACGGCTAATCACAGTGGTGGCCCAAATCTGGACTCTGGGATGGAGGCTTGGATGCACCACAGGAAGTGTGACCAGTAGGTCCAGGGAGGTGATTCTACCCCTCTACTCTGCTCTTACAAGATCCCAGCTGGAGTCCTGCATCCAGCTCTGCAGCTCTCAACATAAGAAGGACGTGGACCTTTTGGAGTGAGTCCAGAGGAGGGCCATGAAGATGCTCAGAGGACTGGAAACATGCTGAGAGAGTTGGGCCTGTCCAGCCTGGAGAAGTCTCCAGGGAGACCTTGGAGCACTTTCCAGTACCTAAAGGGGCTACAAGAAATCTGGAGAAGGACTTTTTGACACAGGCATGTAGTGACAGGACAAGGGGGAATGGTTTTAAGCTGAAAGAGAGTAGGTTTAGATTAGGTATTGAGAAGAATCACAGAATCACACAATATTCTGAGTTGTAAGGTACCCACAAGGAACATCAAGTCCAAGTTTGGCCCTGCACAGCACACGCCCAAGAATCACACCATGTGCCTGGAAATTCTTTCCTGTGAGGGTTGTGAGGCACTAGCAACAGGTTGCCCGGAGAATCTGTGGACTCCCTATTCCTGGAAGTGTTCAAGACCAATCCAGATGGGGCCCTGAGCAACCTGGTCTAGTGGAAGGTGTCCCTGCCCATGGCAGGAGGGTTGAAACTAGGTGGGTCCCTTACAACCCAAACCATTCTATTATTCTGTGTGCCCCCTGCCCAGGCCCAGACAGGGGCAGGTCTTAGCACCCCCAAGGAAAGAGAAGGACAAGACAGCCTGTGTTTGCTACTGGAGTATATTTACCTGCCAAACTTGGTGGAGTTTCCCTGCAGACCACAAAACCCTGTGGCTTGGTGAATGCTCAGAGTTCCTTCTTCCAGGTGAGTGCTGGGCAGCACTGAGGGGGTGTAAAGATGAGGAAGGCACCAGGTGTGCCAGGTCATCCATCTCTGGGTCAGCCACCAAACATCTTCTGGCCCATGGTGGTTTCTGGAGTGATCTGGGGTCCTGGATGGCACCCCTGCACTGAAGGCTGGAGTGATGGGAAGTGCTGAAGCCCCACCAGCCTGGAGCAGGGGCTGGGTGCAACCCCACTGCAGCTTTGGGGCAGAAAGCAGCTGTTTTGGAGGCTGGGGGGGCTGTTTTACCTGAATTTCCCCCAAGCACCCAGAGCTGTGAATCCACAATGGGGGTGGCCAAAATGCTTGATGGTGGCAGGGCAGTTTTTAACCACATGGTTTTGGCTCCATTAATGTGTGTCTTCAGGGTGTTTCAGGTGCTGTCAGGATAAGCCCCTCTTTCTTTGTACACAGCCTCACAGTGACCTGTGGTGCCCTGGGAGGTACCCACAACCTGCTTATCCCAGGAGGTGCCTGTGTGGCTGTGTGCTCCGATCCTGTGGCCATGGTAGCACTTCCCAGTCCACCTGACCTTGTCCCTGGGCTGAGTGCAGGCACCGGGCTGGCAGGAGCCACTCAGCCCTCTCTGCCCCCAGAAAGCAACCACCCCAAAAATCGGCCTGCAAAGGAATTTGGTGCATCCTGTTGGGGTACACTCTCTGTCCCCACATGGACACTAGGTTTGGTCAGGTCCACAGGACCCTCCACATTCCTGGAGCTGAGGACAGCATCTGCAGAGCCTGGGCAGACACCCTCGCTGGGGCAGGGGCTGCAGGAAACATTCGAGCAGACAGCAGCAGAGGTGACCAAATGTTCTAGAGCCAACAAATAACCTCAATTAAGCTCTGTGGCAGTGACCGATTCCAGCCGTGCAGCAATATTGGCTCCTTTAATTTTTAAGTGGCTGGAAATGGCAAGACTGGGAGCTGGGATGAGGGGACACCAGCCCCCTCTCTGCCCCTGGAGTCACTTTGCTGCCCCTCATCCTGGAGGGAGCAGAGCCCAGATACTGGCTGAGCTCCAGCCTGCCAGTCAGACAGCCCTTTCCCAGACTGGGATCTGAGGAAACAGGGAGACACAGCCCCTGTTTTGGTTAATTTTGGCCAAGGGTTCTTGCTCAAGTTTCCCCCTCTCTCAGTCACCACATCCCTGTTGCCCTTCCTGCAGGAGCCGACAGCATTCCCTGCCAGGGTACCACAGGGACAAGAATGGCAAGGACTGAGAACAAAATGCAGATGCCCATGCATGGCATCATCCTGCAGAGCATATGGAGAGTTGGGATGGGGGCACGGTCCATATGACAATCCCCAGCCAGCCCACTGCCGCATCCACACCCTGCACGACCTGGATTTGTGCCGACACAGACAGGGTGAGCCTGGCCCTGAGGAGGGTTGGCATGGCAGCCTTGGCCAGGGGCCAGCCCCAGGCACCGACGGGGAGCCCAGTGAGCAGCTCCTGCCTGCTGAAGCTCTGGGACACTCTCAGATTTCCCCATGGCAGCCTCAGCCTGAGCATGGCCCACTTCCACCAGCTGATTTGTGGAGGGAGGAGATCAGGATGGGTAAAACTGGAGGAGATCAGGGAGGAGATCAGGATGGGTAAAACTGGCCCAGCTTCTCCAAAAGCAGATTTTACACCCAAAAAAAGCAAAATAAAAATCAATGGCACATTAGTGTCCCTGGTCCTTCCTGAACACCCTCCAGCTCTGACATAGCAGCCCCAGGAGGATGCTGTTACGCTGTTAGAGGGAAGGTGAAACTGAGACATGGGCGGCTTTTGCATTTCCCCAGCTGAAAAAGGATTTGCTACCAGAGAGGGCAGGCACTCCAGCAGGCAGGGCAGTAATGCTGACGGCTGTGCCCTGTCAAGCTGTGGTGCAGGGGCCAGGGCTGGCCCAGCCTCACTATCTGCAGGAATTTTTGCTCTGCTGCCAACTCCAGACAAATCCCTTTTATTTGCTTGTTCAGGTTTCAGTGCTGTAATTGAGTCGTCTGAGCCAGTTCTCAAGAGAAAGAGGAAGAAAAGAAAAGAAAAAACAAGTGAAGGAGAGTAGTGCGGTGCCCCAGCCACCAGCCTCATTGCATCCTGCCTGCTCCTGCCTGGGGACTGGCCAACTCCTTCCTCATGGGATCTGGCTTCCTGCCTCAGCCCACAGCTCTGGACCTCCCTGGAGCGGGGACTGAGTAACTGGGAGTGGTTTGGTCCATATGGAGGTTTTGAGCCCCAGAAGTCCTGTATATGCTGCTGGTTTGGGGGGAAAAGCATCCCTTGAGTGTGAGCTCAGCCCCAGAATGCCCATGGAAGGGGTCCTGACAGCCCTTTCTGGGCACAGAGCAGCACAGTGCAGCTCTGAGCTTCCTTTCCGTGCTTCCCACAAATGAAAGTTTGCTCTAAATCACCAGCTCTGGGAGGTAGGTGGGATATTTTTTTTTAAAGATAGCATTTCCAGTAGAAACTGGTGCCTCCCTGTTCTTCCCCACTTAGGCACAGAGCTGCTCCATACTGAGAGGGCTGTGGTCACCTTGATGGAGGCCCCAGTGTCACAGAACCTAGGACCCCAAGATGAAGGCAGTGGAATAGGATCCAAACTGATGGGGGTACAATTACATGGCTTGATTAATCCCCACTGCACAGGAGATGGCACCCCCATCCCCATGTGGGGTGAGAAGGGCAGGACCCACACCAGGACCAGCTGTGAGCACCAGAATGGGCAGGAGGGCTCCTCGCCTCAAGCACCCCTGCAATGAACAAGGCAGCATCCACAGTGTTTGCACCTTCCCTCACCCCCATAATCATCCCTGTGGATGTAGGATAGCCAACTGGCCTCTTGGCTTTGACCTACGTGTATATTTTAAATAACATTAACTGAAACGGCAAAGAAAAGAGCTTCATGGAAGGGAAAGCATGAAGTCAGTCAAAAAAAGCCAAAGTGTTTCTGACCACAAGGATAGTTGGGCTGGAGAAAAGACAGCACTGAAAGCCACAAGTGTCTGGTTTCCTCAAATCACTACTTTTCTGGTTAAAAACAAAACGGAAGGATGTTTTGGCAGCAGGTTCCTTAAATCCTGGGGAGAAGCCGGGCTGTCTCTGTGCTCAAGGAATACAGAACAGACATGGGGATGACACTGGATACCACAGCCAGGTCCTAACCCTCTGCTCCAGCTTCCCCAAAAATGCTTTTTACAGGGCAGTGATGCCCCTGCCTTGCCCTCACTCTCCCAAAGGGAGCTGTCTCCACCCCCGGCACCAAGTCCTCATCACACACAGCACAGTTGTCCCTGCAGTGTCCCAACTGCCACCGTGTCTCCACTCAGTGCCAGAGGACAGACCCACCCTGCTCCAGGCAGAGCTGCCCCTGGTCCCAGCCCTGTGCTACCAACCAGCCAGTATCCCCTCCCCAAGCACCCTGAAACGATGTGTCACCCTATCCCCCACCCTAAAAAACAGGCTGGTGTGCCAGGATTGTTTGAGAAGAAGTTTTGGGCTAGAGGGTGCTTGCTCCAGAGATGTCCCCAACACACAGGAACCGTGATTGTGGGCAAGGTGATCCCTGCAGCCAGACATCCTGTCTCTGGGCTAGTAGTAGTCCTCCTCACTGTCCCCGTAGTCCTCGGGTGTCACATGGGCCTTCGGCAGGGAAAAGCTTGTCAGGTTGAGTTGGTCTGAAACAGCAGCATGGGGACAATGTGACATTGCCACTCTACAGTACCTGTCCCCTTCCCCACAAGGACCAGAGCCAAACCATGCATAGCAGCTTGCTGGGGCATCCCCAGCACAGCCCTGTGCTCCAACAGCTCCCGCTGTACTGCTGCACTCGGCCCAGACATCCCTTCCCTCGTCCCCATAAGAGCATGGGGACAAGGACACAGTGCTCACCCGGTGTGAAGACAGTCAGGCTGGCAACTGCCACCACCTCCCCGACGCTGTTCCTGGCGAAGCAGCGGTATGTGCCCTCGTCTGTCACCCGCACACCCTGAATCTGGAGCCAGCCTGTCACTTCATATTTCTGAGGGCCACCTCTGAACTGCAAGAAAGAGGGATTTCGGTGAGCTCTTGTGGCAAAAACAAGGGGGCATCTGTGCCACAGAGTCCAGAGTCCCCTGTTTCGGCAGGCAGTGAGGTCCCAGGATTGCTCTGGCAGCAACCATGCTATTTTCTGTTTATCCACAGGAATAAATAGGCTTTCCCTGACCCAGCTGTGCTGCAGCTGTGTTTGCAGGCTGCTATTATGGTGCAGTGGCCAGGGGTGGAGGATAGTAGAGTCTCCTCCAACCAGACAGGGTAGCCCTGCTGGGGTGGAGATCCTTGGTCGGACCCTGCAACAGGCTGTGGGGAGGCTTGAAGGGCAGAAAGATGGAAGGGGACCAGCATGTCACACCACAATGGTGCCAGGTTCCACCAGCTCTCCTGGCTTCCCACATCCATCCCACCATAGTTTCCTCCCCATTGGTGCCTGGCTGAGGTGGACAGCCCCTATGCCTCTGCCCACACCCTCTAATAGCTAGGTGTGCCCAGCTGGGCACTATATTTGGGGTTGGCCACAGGCAGGACGCTGACCCCTGGCCTGTCAGCTCTGGGAGGGGAGTCCTGCTGATGTGAAAAAAAGGGCAGGGACTGCCTGGATATGCTTGTAGGACTAGAGGATAACCCAGGCTGGAAGGCACTCAGGAGGGCCTCTCCTCTAGCCCTTCCAGTAGGGTTGCAAATGAAGGCAAAAAGCAGAGCAAACTAAAGGCAGGGAGGTGGGAAACTACCTGCTGCAGGACTCTAAAAAATATGAACAAGTTCAAAAACTACTAGAGGAAATTGCAGAAGAGAGCTATGCTGATGGCTCCTATCACCAAGACACCAGCCCTGGCTCAGCCAGTCCTCATTGTATGCAGCCTCCAGTCACCCCTTCCCATTCCCAGGCAGCCAGGCTTGGCCATCTCCTGAGTATGACCAACCACTGTCAGGTCCGGTTGTCCATGAGCTCTGAGAAGCACTGGGTCACCCCTGGCCCGTGTTCAATGCCCTAGGCACACCACTCACCTGGACAGAGATGTGGGGGTCATCTCCAGGCAGCAGCATGTCTGTGCCATCCTTCCTCCACTCGATGGATGCCATGGGGTAGGCGAAGACCTCGCAGCCAAAGATGACGTCCTGCCCAGTGATGTTCCATGTGTCATAGGGAGGAGAGGTGATCTGGGGCTCTGGGGAGGGGGGTACAGGAGAGCAGGGTGGGCTCAGAAGAGGTTCCACCCTTGGCAGGTTCCATGGGCTCTCCTGGGCTGGTCTCTTGGGCAGCAGCATTTGGTTCACGTAGAGATGCTGGGACCCTTCCCATGCCCCTCCTCTCCCACCCGTGGCAGACTCTCACCATTCCCCAAAATATGGTCGCTCCTCACAGCTGGGACTGGGGACTCCCTCCCCAGCCCATTGGGGTGCTCATCCAGCCCAAGGCAGCTGGGGATGGATGAGGTAGATGAGCTTCCAGCCATATAAGGCCTCTGCTCTGACACAGGGCTAATGCCAGCAATGAAGGGAGTCAGCAGGTCCCCAGCTGCTGGATAAAGCCAACATCTCTAGGTTCCACAACCCTTCCCTGGAGAGATAGAGTGAGGACTACCCTTCCAACCCACATCTGTTCCACAATCTGGCCCATAGCATGAGCCAGAGGTCAAGGGAAGTCTTCCCCTCCAAATACACCTGGGAAAAAACTCAAGAATATGATGATCTACAGAAAATAAAGTCAACCTTGACACCCCTCAGGCTGTGGTGACAGCACTGGGTGACTTGTGCCAGACTGGGCAGGCTGGGACACAGCCTCCCTACCAATCTGTCCCTCTCAGCCCCCAGCTAAGTCTTAAATGGGAGATGGAAATCACACAGCCAAGTCAAACAGACCCAGGTTTCCATTTGCAGGAGGCAGGAGCATTTCTCGGGAGCAACGGGCCAGTGTGAACCCAGCACTGCCGCCAAGAATTCGCTAACAATTCCCTGGAACTTCCCCATCTGCTCCAGCAGGATTCATTGCTTCCCATAAACCCCACTCCCTCTTGGCAAAGCTGCTCCCAGACCTCTCCAAGAGCTTGATCCACAAGGGCTGCCCTGGAGCAGCAGGATGGGAGGACTAGGGGAGCACTGACACTGTATGGAGCAGCCCCCACTGCTGCCTTATCCCTGTGGACACTGTGGGTTTGCTGTCAGGAGAAACAGTTAAGCCGGACCCCCTTGCTCGTCTATTCCCTAGAGGTACAAGCCTCCATCCATCCTGCAGCTCCAGGGGCACTACCTGACTCGCAGGGACCCTCGTGGGCCACGGTGAGGTTGGCATCAGGGTGGGCGTGGGCAACCTCCAGGAACCTGCAGATCTGGGCATAGGTTTTTCCATCGGAGCCGCAGAGGGCCAGGTGGGAGAGGCAGGCACATTGGGGCTCAGGCACCTCTCCATGATGCAAGTCCCCAGCATCCAGCCGGCACTCCATGTGCTCCCCACACTTGCCGTAGAAGTGGTTGGTGTTGTCCAGGTCGCAGATCTGTCCCTCCAGGTTGGCACATTCCCAGCAGCAGTCACAGGCATCCCGCACCGTGCCAGCCAGGCACCCACGCGGTGTCGGGCACTCCTCCGGCTGGCACTCGGCGCAGCCCTCCCCTTCCTCCAGCAGCCGCTGCCAGCCCCGCTGGAGGTAGTCAGAGGTGCTGGGAAAAGCCTGGCCCAGCTGGAGCAAAGCCCAGTGCAAGGAGAGCAAGGAAAGCACGAGGCAAGAGGAGCTGAGGGGCTTGGCTTCAGACATCCTCATGATAGCTCCGCTATCCCAGTCCCACTGTCACTTGGATGGGTATCTCTGGCACTTTTCTGGCCTCCCTGTCTAGATCTGAGGAGCCATTCTGGCCTGTGAGGAGGGAGGAGGTGTGTTATTGGTGCAGGAAGAGTCTCCCACCCCTTTGGCTCTTGGCTGTCTTGCCCTGAGTGGCAGTGATGCTTGATGTGCAGGGGAGGGTTGGTCCCACCTCTCTCACCCCCAGCACCGCAGCCACATCCTTCACACCCTGGAGCTCCCCAGCCAGCTCCTGCCCTGAGATGCTGTACAACTTCTAATCGGATGAAGTTGCTGACCCCAGCCCCACCAGGTTTCATTCTTCTTCCCTGGCAGACCAGCGTGCAAAGTCCAGCCTGCTCTGACCCCAGCATGGCCTGAGGAGCCACAGGGCTGGCAGGGCACTGAACAGGCTGTTCTACATCATTATGGCTCAGCTGGTTTGTATCCTGCTCCTCCCCTGCTCACTGCTCTCAGGAAGCTGCTCTCATACCCCTTTTCTTTACCCATCAGTTTTCAAGAGTCACAAGCCCTTTTTCTGTCCCTTGCCATCCATACAAGCACAACGGAGTGGCTGATCCTGCAGACAAGGTGCTCTTTCTGTGCTGGATGCAGCCAAGCCAGGAGTATGCTCCCAGTCATGCCTGGCTTTTGTTCTCCTTCCCTCCCTGCACTGTAACCTCTCTTTATAGGCATCACCCACTTGAGCAGGGGAAAAAACATCCCCCTAGGAAGGCTTTGTGACCCTGTCAGTCATCACACAGGCAACTGAGGCTGAGCATGGAGGAGCTCAGTGCACAGATGGGCAGCCAGTGGACTGACAGCAGACCCAGCGCCCAGTGTGGTCAGCCTGTACTAGCACGGCGGGGTCCCTGTCCCCAAACCCCAACCCTGCATTACCTACCCAGGGTAAGCAGGGGCTGATCTGCCCCAGGCTTCTCATCTCTGCTGGGGGGGACATGTGGAGTCTCAGAGCCTGTCCCCAGAGAGGGACAATGAACCAAACCCCTTTGTGAACATCCTTCCCCTGCTCTCAGTTACACCCTGGCTGCCTTCCCTGAGACGAGGTGAAATTATAGTCCCCTGCCCCAGGGTGACCCACCATAAGCGAGCGGGGCTGAGGAGGGGACCCAGGTGGACGGGCTAGCCCCTCCCCTCCTGCTGGGAACAGCACCGAGGAGCAGGCTGCAGCCCTCCCAGCTGCACCACCCCCCACTAACGCAGCCCAGAGCTGGGGTGGGGTGGGGAGGATGGCCCGGACAGTGGCTTGCGTACGTGCACCCCCCGGATAACAAACCGTGAAGTTCTGACCCGTTTACCTGAGACCACCGAGCCCCCCAGGGGTGGAAAGGGGCAGGGAGTCCTTGTGCTGGAGGCCCCCCCGTCCCACTCTACCCCAGTCTGTACGAAGCAAGGCTGCATCCCCCGGTGGATGTGGGGGGCCAGAGAAAGGGTGGTGAGTAACTGCAGAGTTGGTCTCTGGATCCCCACGTTGGGAGTGCAGACACTGGCGATCCTGGATAAGTACTGGGAAGGGGCACGGCGTCCCCTGGGGTCCCCCGGGAGCCACCCCGCCATCAGCCGCCACTTACCGGAGGCGCCGGTGCCTGTGGCCGCGGGTGCGCAGTGGCCGTGGCGGCGGGGCTGCTGGCCCCCGGGGCTGCTGGCCCCCGGCCGCTCCAGCACCGCCGTGATGTCAGCGAAACGTGAATCCCCCCGCCCCTCTCCGGGCCCGCAGCCCGTCCCTGGACCGGGACACGGGCTGGCCGGCACCCCTTCCCTGCCGGGATCCCGACACGCACCGCACCCTGACCCTGGGGCTCTGCCGCTTCAGCCCCCCGGCACCTCCCCCCGGACCCCCACGCAGGAGTCACCCCTGGCCGTGTGCGGGAGCTGGGCTAATGCTCAGCTCCATCCAAGGGGCAGTAGGGGATGGGATGGGGGGCAGAAACCAACTTTGCAGGGGTCCTTGGGGACAAGTGAATGGGCGGGGTGAGCATGGCTAAGGAAGTGGTCAAAAGCATCTCTCAACCTGTAATTTGGTTGGGAAAGACAGGCTGAGCAGCTGCTGTAAGTAAATGGGGGATAATTCCTGGGGGTATCTGCACTTGCCCCATTTCAGGAACCAGGTATGAAGAGGCTATAGGGGAGCCAACAATGGCGTTACCTTGGCTGGAGCAGAGCTATTGGGAGCAACGGTGGGGATGTTGCACACCACAGCAGTGCAAAACCCTCATGCACAGGGCTGGGGCTCCAGACCTCCCTGGCAAGCTGCTTTGCTGCTCCCTGCCTCAGTTTCCCTGGCTCTGAGGAATGGGGGAGCCAGCGTGTGACTTTACAGCACAAACAAGCTGTACATTTGCATATTGCTCCGCATGCCATGCTGGGGGATCACACAGCCAGCTCTTCTCCTCCAGGCAAGGAATTTGTAGGATTTACTTCCCTGGTGAAGCTCAAGCAAAGAAGGACCCCTCTAAGGATCTGGTTTCCTTCACCACGCTGCAAAAATCTGCTTTTGCTTTCCAACACCCTCCTGCAAATTCATTCCGAGTTCCAGGGCTTTCGCTCAGTCATGTTGTGAATCCAGCCGTGTCTAACGATGGAAAATGCGCCAGGCTTCAGCCCCCCTAAATCCGCCTTTGCCAGCCAAACCCCCCCTCCAGGCCCCTACTGCAGAGGGGGTTTCCTGGCAGCTCTGCCTTCAGTCTCACATCCCACTCCCCCTCTGTGGCCCCCAGCCCCTTGGCTCAGGGCTGCCTCCCTCTCTGGCTCCCCTTGCCCAGCCTATGGAGTTCGGTCCTCACATGCCACAAGTTTTCAGGTCCGGCATCCATGAGTTGCTGAGCAGCTGGGGCTGCAGCTGTTTTGGGAGCAGGAAAAAAATCAGAAAGAGCTGACGTTTTCCTACATGCACCCCCAGAGCTGGGTCAGAGCCTGAGCAGAGAGGAGACAGACTGGAGGTGACCCAGACAGGGGTGCTGAGCCTCCAGGGCTATCCCTACCATGCCACCTTTCCCACCTTGGGGTGAAGCACTGCCTGCACATTCAGGCATCCCTGTACCAAAAACACCCTCACCTGTCCCTGCTCCATCCAGGGGGCAAAGCAGTGGGGCAAGCCTGGCCCCACCTTCTGCCCACAAAGCTCCTGGTTGGCACAGAAATAGAGCCAGTGCTTAAATCCCAGGCACCACTGAAAAGAAGGCCATCAATGGTCCCTGGTTATTTGTGTCTTTTGCCCTTGGCAGGAGGGCAAGGGGAGCAGGCCCTGATGTTGCTGTCCTTCTCCACGCATGTGGGGAAGGACCTTCTGCCATGTGCCATGGCTCGAGCACCTGGTGTGTCCCTGTCTTCATGGGGTCACCATGAAGACCTCTGGGTGGCTGGATTCATCTGAGCATCACTGCAGCATCAGCTGCTCACAAGGTGGGGAGAGGCCAAGTCTCCAGATGTAGATTCCCTGGCCAGAGGTGAAATCCAGACTCAGATCTGAGCAGGAACATCTCCAGCCATGGAGCAACACAACCCACAGCCTGAAAGCCATGGGCACCTCAGCTCAACTCAACAAGATGGAGCTCAAACCTGGCAGGTAATTAAACCTGCTGCTTGATGAGACTATTGAATGTGCTAATGAACAGTAGCAGGTATGAATGAGGGGTGGAAGATCTAAACCTGTGCTTAACAAGGAGTTCTGCTCAATCACACCTTGAGTCAATCAACGCGGCCCCTGGCTGCAAATGGGGTTTGGGGCTTGTGTTGCTTGGCACAGCTTTCTGGTGAAAAGTGTGCTTACAGCCCTGTATGGCCAGGCACCAGGATAAATTGCATTACTGGCTCCCCACCTGTGCTAGCTATCTATTTCTCCTTTCTCCTCCCTTTTCCTGAGCCCAGTGAAGCTCCTGAAACTGGGCTTTGAAGATTAAGCCTCAAGCACCAAAGCCTCCTCCTTCTCCCTGCTGGGTTACTCCATACCACTGTTTTCCCATCTTGTGATGGTTCCATTGAAGCCAGGAGTCCATGGATGCTCCTGGCAGACCGACATCCATGGCATCCCTCCAGACCTCTGTCATCAGATTGACACACTGATGACAGAGCCATCACGGCCAATCAGGGGTTCCACACTGCTCGTGTCTCCCCCCCAGCTTTGGGCTGATCTCCCAGACCACCCCACAGGGATCTGGGGCTTACGGCAGACGAAGCCAAGGAAAAAAATCTGCTGTGGAAAAAAAGCTCTGGGCCAAGTGACTCAATGCACATCATGTCAGGCAGGGCTGGTGAGCAGCATCAGAGCTGGGCTGGTGGGGATGAGAATGTGGCCTGTGTCACGCCAGAAGCAAATGTCACCGGAGATGCTGGGACAGAATGCTGCCAGCACACTGCCTGGGGCCAAGGGGGTCTCCTTCTGATAATACACCAAATCTCTCTCATTTTGCGTCAAACGCTGCTGCTCCTCTCTGTTTCCTGCCATCTGGAGCAGCCTGACACAGCCGGGTTCTGGCCAGCCCACACCAAGGCTGCGCAGCTCTCGAGGGGTCCCAAGCCATGTTCTGGGGCTCCACTGCAGGGACAAGGGATGGGCAGCAGGCAGGTCCCCCCCATCTGCATGCCAGGCCAAACCCACTGGGAAGCAGCCAGGCTCAGGTTTCTCTAGGCTTTTCCAGAGCGAATTCCTCTGAAGAACTAATCCGTCAGCAAATTCTTGGGGAAGCAGTTGCAGCTGTGTGCAGGGGCCGGGGGCTCTCAGGCGGCCCCGAGGCGCGATGGCAAAGTGGTAAGGGACACTCCGGTCCCCAGTCTGCCCAGCGTCCCCGGCCAGCTCTATCAGCTCTATCCCCGGAGGAATACCGCCGCTTTCGTGGGGCTTTCCCATAAGCCCCATCTAAGAGCAGGTCATATAACTCGGGGTCTGGAACCGAAGAGGCAGCGGGGGCTGCATTCCCGGGGGATATCCCCGTGCTGGCACAGTGCTACGTTAAGAGCGGATCCCACCGCCCCGTGACCCGCCTGGCTCCCCCCGCACCCCGACCCCGCAGCACTCCCCGCAGTCCCTGCCTCCCCCCGGTCCTGCCCGCGGCGCTACCTCGCACAGGGGTGCGGGCAGGCGGTGCGGGCAAGAAGCTGCGGGGTCTCTGCTGCCACCTCCAGGGCACTGCTGGCCTCGGCCTCGTCCCCTTGCAGTGACACTGACCCTGTAGCTGGAGGCTGCAGATCCTGGGGCAATGCATGGACACCTCAGCTCCACCACCCCATTCCCCTGAACGCTAAAAGCCCCGCCAGGAGCAGAGCCTGGAAACCCCCACCGCAATGTAGTGTCCTGAGGGGTTTGGGTACCCTCCTGGGATGTGGGGATCCTCTGTTCAGGCTGCCCTGTGTGCTCAGGGCTCTATGGACCCCCCAGACGGGTTGCTCCAGAGGGTGCTGCCAGCTCAGTGGCACCGTGCCCGCTGTTCTCTTTGCCACCCTCCCTTTCCCCAGCCTCCAGCAGTGCCAGCAGGGCTGGGATCAGCCAGGAAAGGTGACCCACCACCAGTGCCCCAGCACCCCCTGCCACTGGGGATGGGCACTGGGGAGGGGGAGCCTGCCCGCTCCCCCCCTACAAGAGGCTGCCCATTTCCAGGCGTCATTAAAGAGCAATTAGCTGGAAATTAAGCTGAGAACAAGTATTGATTAGCTCATTAAGGCTGGGGGAACCGGCTGAGGCGGTAGGAATTGCTGCTGCTCGCCCTCATTATGGGCAAGGTTAAAGCTTGTGGTCGGGCAGCTCATTAAAGATGCCAGGGACCAATCGATGTCCCTAGCCCAGCGCCACCCAACACCCCCAGCACCCCTGGTGACATCCAGCTGCTGCCTTTCTGGGACTGGCCCTTGACCTCTGTGATGAGCCATCTTGGGAAAGGACTGAGCATCCTTGCTCCCCTGCATCCACTGCTGCATCCTGGGCTCCCCTGCAGAGGCAGCGCTGTCACCTTTGGGCTTGTCAGCCCCCCAGAACTCACTGGCCAAGTGAGTTTTCTCTGCCCCCAACTAGGACACCCATGGAAACAGGTCCCTCCTGGCATAGCGAAGTGACTGAGTCTGTGGGCGCTCACTGCAGTGCTGCCAGTTCCAGGAGAAGACAGACACCACGGCTGGTTTGCAGGGCAGCATGCCAGACCTGCAGCCCACCAGACGTAAATTTGTCATGTCTCAGCCTAGCAACGCCAGCTTATGCAGGTGGGGTACAGACCAAGGGGATCTCAGGGATGGGGTAAAAGCAGCTGGGAGTATGGGGACTGGTGAAAGACATGCAGTGGCTCTGTGTGGCCAAGTACTGCCATGCCACCCTGCCATGTATCCCATCCCCAAGAGCTCTGGGGGCTCTTGGGCTGAGCCCAGCCCCTGCCTGGCCATTCACTCAGACCCAGCCACCCCAAGCCCCTCCACCTCTGGTCCCATGTCCCTCCCATTCCCATCTCTGCCTCTTGTGGCCACAAGCAGCTCAGGGCCAGCTCCCAGCCAGTGCACACATGGAGGGTGTCCCCACGCAGCCTAGTGGTGTGTGTGGGACGAGGCAGGTGTCATCATTATTTTTGTTTTCTTTGCACTGCTCTGGAAATATATTGTGTTCTCAGATAATCCCGTTCAATTACACCACAATAAAACACATAATAAAAACGTAATTCATTTTTCCTGTGCGCTCCATCTCCCTGTGTCTTGGCAAGCTATTAAAAATTTGTCTTCATTTTTCTGGCAAGAGCCTTGTACCTTTTCATTTTTAATTTATGAGAGCAGAATAGCTACTGACAAGCCCTTATTGCACGGCAAGGGGCTGCATTATTTATAAGCCGCCAATGGCTGGCTCAGGGGAGATATTTGCAATATTCTGGAGCTGGGAGAAGGAGGGGGACAGACCCCTGACGTGCCTTTCCCAATCCACTCCCCCACCTTGAGTGGGTGCTTTGTGCAGATGTTCTCCTGGCTGCTCCTTGAGGGGAGCACCCACAGCCTGGCCTCTACCAGTCCCTGCCCGCTGGGAAAGCTGTGGCACAGGGTGGCTCTGGGCTGCCTGGCCCTTATCTCGCCACTGCTGCATCTGCCCATCTTGGGCTTAGCAGCGGCTCTCACTCCTCCATCCTTCAGCACAGGGCACTGCAGAGCATGGTTGCCTCCATCCCTCCTCTCCCTGCGTGGACATCCATCACTCCTTCTGACTGCCCAGGTCAGACAGAAAGCTGAGGGGGGAGGCAGCTGCTGCCCGCAGCCTTGCCAGGGTCCTGCGACAGCAGCGATGTGCTCTCCAATGTGCTCTCTGATAGCCGTGCATAGAAAGTGGGATAAAAATAGCCCCACAGGAGAGGCAAGCACAGGACCAGGGCCAGCACTGAAGGAGAGTGCTCTATGAGCAGGCTGGAAGAGGGGGTGTGAGTGTGGGCAGAGCCAGGGTGACGCTCTGGCCTCTTCAAATCAGCGACATCCAGGGCAGCAGCTTAGCAAAGCTCTCTGCACAGCAGCGAAGTCCAAAGCCGACTGTACTAAAAAAAGCCCTCCTGACAGCTGGATAAGCTTAAACACATGCCGGGCCAGCCAGAGCCACTGCAAAGGCAGTGGACTAGAAAACAGGGAGCAGAGTACAGCCCTGGGGGGCACAGGGGCACCCAATAAGCCAACCTGCCCCTCCCTCCTGCTCCCATCCTCGCCCCAGTGGCAGTTCCTTTCCACCACATAGAAACTGGCAGCAACATGCTTCTCTTTGCTGTTGGTGTTTTGTATAAACAATCTGCCTTTATTGTTTGGTGTATATATAGGTACATTATATGTATATCAAAAAACCTAGAGGAAACCACAGTGCATTTAAAGCTATTTGAGAAGGTCCACCTGAAAGCAAGCAGTCCAGAAGAGGGTAGAGTAACCCCTTGGGGGGAGCCCAGCCCTGAACAGAGATGGCATTAAAATGAGAATAAAAATGGAGACTCTGCTGGGATTAAAATGTGCCATTCGCTCCAGGGATGGAAGGAGCAGAAAGCCAGATTAAATCCCCAGAGCAGCCTGGAGGAGAGCAGAAGGTGAGCTGGGAGCACACGCCTGGGCCGGGAGAGCCGCCCCCGCCCCGAGTTCAAGCCACTATGTGCACTTCATCACTCACCCACAGCTATTTTGAGTATGGGGAGTTTTCCTCTCTGAAAGCTGCTCTGCCATGCCCAAGCACCAGCTGCTAAACCACTGGGGACCACAGGGTGCTTATATAGGGGTTCTACCTTCAATTGCTGTGATTGTCTACTGCATCCTAAAGCTGGGGAGCACCATTTTCTTCCTTATTCCACAATTTTTCCTCTACCACCGCTCACGAGATCCCTGGTGCTGCTGCCCACGTTCCCCTGTGCACTGCACACAGCTACAGGCACACAGAGGGTAAGCACAGGAGGAATGCACCGGGGTGCCAGCCAGGAGGTCCCTGAGCAGGGCTGACCCAGGCATGGGGACAGGGTTTGGTGTGGTGCTGCATGGCTGCCGGCACCCTGGGAAGCAGGGCTGAGCACCTGGAACCTATGGAAACGCAACAGCCAAGGGAAAGCGGCAGCAACCCCAAAGGGATCCGAAGGGCGAAGCTCGGCAATTCGCTGGCCCGGCAGCTCCGTGGTACACATCTCGGCCGCCCCAGGACCCCCATTCAGAGCCCTTTGTTGAAGTAGACCGTCTCCAACCATGGGTCTTTCTTCCGTATCTGATCTTGGACATCAGGCTCCAAGCTGCTCACGGCCATGGAGCTGCCAAGGGGACACAGATACAGAGGATGGAGGGGATACTGGTGGCCTCAGCTTGGAAAACCACCTGCTGTACCTCTTGGGGATGCTGTTCCCATGGCACAGCACAGACCCTTGGGTCTGCACTGCTGTGTGTGCGCAGAGACGTGTGCACGGGTTCAAGCCTCTGACCACTCACAGAAGCAAAACAATCCCTTGGGACTCAGAAAGCACAAGGAGCCCACGCACCCCCTGCCTACACCCCAGCCCTGCCCCATGGGAGCCACACGTGTAGGCGAGGTGTTTGTCTGTACCTTTTCTGCGGGAAGAGTGCACAGCACAGCGGGGTGGCGAACACCAAACTGGAAGGGAAAGACAATGAAAGGAGAAGCTGGGCTGCATAAATCTCCCACACCCACCCATGTCCTGGTCCCACAGCAGCAGGAAGGCAGCCCAGAACTGTGCCAGATGCTCAGCCAGGAAATGGATACAGAGATGCCCTCTCCAAGCTCCAGACCCTGCATTTGGCTCCCGAAGTGGGACAAGTCTGTCCCATCAGTGTGGGAGAACAGCAACGCTGAGCCTGAGCCCACGGCAAGCTTGAGAGACATTAAGATGGAGCAAAACAGCTCCCAGCCCCAGGACCTCATATCCCATCCTATCTGCTGGGGAGCTACCAGCCTGACTGAGCTCTGGCATTCCCCCAAGAAACTCTGGGGCAGTTCTCACCCCGCCTGCCAAGCAGAGACCCCAGCAGCACTGTCCCCTATACCTGGGCTCAGTCTGTGCCCAGGGCAGTGCCACCCATGGGTGGAGAGTGACTTACCATAATCCCACCAGGCCGACCTGCAGGGGAGCGTTCAGGTACGGGTACCGCTGCCAGGGAGAGGCTTTGTGTCAGTGCGGCGAACAGGGTGGGAAGGTGCCTATTTTCTGATGGTGTGCCAGCTCCAAGGGGTGCCAGCGATGTGACAAGCTCGAGGGGTGCTCCTATGCTCACCCTCCCATCCCAGGACCCCTAGTACCTTCAGGAAAGCTCTCTTCTCCAGCATGTTCATGATCACTGGCGGGATGGCTGAGGCCAAGGGGAAATAGATGAGCCCTCAGTGCTCACAGGCCCCCAGCAGCAGTGGGACCCCATTCCATGCTGCCAGGGACCAGCTGTAGTCCCCCAGCACAGATGGAGGAGAGAACACTCACCCATGGCTGGGGCTGCCATGCCAATGCGGGACACCACCACCTGGAAAATGGCCTTCTGGGCTGCAGCTGTGGATTCTCCTAGGCGGTTCCCATTCTCATCTGTGACTGGGATCCCGAGCTTGAGCTCTCTGCAGGGAGAGAGGCAGTGAAGGGGCCCCAGGGCACAAGGGTGGGGGGATCAGGAGACAGGGCAGGTGCATGTCTCCAAGGGAAGCTGGCATCCTCCTGTATCCCCATCCACTGCCTGCATAATAAACTGCGGGAGATCTCAGCTGGACTCACATTCACACTTGGGAGTGGTCCTCAAGAGGGTTGTATGGGGATGCAACCAGGTGTTTGTACCCTCAAGCCAACCCCCCAGGCTAAGGGATGAGAGCAGGGCCAGCAAGGGAAGTCCCTGAGTTCCCTGACAGTGCCTGGTGACCCCTGACATGACCCCAAGCACCCCAGCCCAGCCCAGGGGCTCACCTCTGCCTCATTAGTGGGATGTTGATGCAGTTGGCAGCTGCCACAGCCGCAAAAGGAACGTACCGGCCGATGATGGCTGGCAAGTGCTGGGGGGAAAAGCAGGAGGACGTAATGCAGAGGGTCTGGGGGCAGAGCTGGCTGTTCCCAGGTCTGTAACCATCCTCCTGGAAGACCCTGTGGTGTCCCAGCCCCACTGGAGAAAAACATTCTCTCCTCCCCTGGAACTCCCAGCCAGTAAAAGCTGCACAGCCCAAAGGGTGTGGGGGGGTCCCACATCCCACCCCAGCCCTGGACAGAGGCTGACTGGTGAAAGAAGCCTGGAGAGATGCAACTGGAGCAAGGCTGGAGGGACAGGTCATCTCCACAGCCTTCACTCAGGAGAGCAGTTGTATTGTGTGGGTGACCCCATCAAGGCCCTTTTCTCCATCTTCTTCCCCACCCCAGGTGATGGGGTGAATCTGCTGATCAGCTCAGAGCTCAGGGAGATCCCATGGGAAGGGTCCAGGTGCCCCACCCATGATGGCCAAGGGTCACCTTACCTTGGTGAGAGATTTGAGCCCCAGTGCTGTGACAACTGCCCCCGTGGTCGCACTCACATAGGCTGTCCCCAGCTGGCTGCAAGAGCAGGAAGTGACACCCATAAGCCATGATCCCCTCATCCCAGTTCCCCCTCCAAAGGGGACAACGTGCCCTTCAAGAGCACCAGGAAACCTGAGTTCCTTTCCCAGCTCTACCACTAACTCTGACAGCCCCACTGGTGTCCAACTCTGGTTGTGCCAGGTCCCCATCATCCTCTCTCACAGCTCCCTACTATTCAAGGAACTGTTCAAGGCACATCCCTGGCATTTTGGGGTATCCCAAGAACCTGGTCAGAGAGATGCTTACCTGGGGGTAATGGGTGCATCCCCGCTGCGGTTGGTGTAGTTGACAACGGCATTGAAGGACTGGTTGACCCACTGCCAGAACAGCACAGCCGGTGTGGTCCTGCCAGAGAGAAGGGTGCTGGTGGCATTGGGGGATGCCACCTGTGCTCCTACAGCACTAGTGCACCGTGGGGTATGGGACATATGTCCCCTCCTCACCCCAGGGCCTGGGAGGGGCATCCTCCTGGCCCTGGGGTGAGGAAGGGACGGGTACCTGTAGAAGGTCAACATGCAACCGGTGATGGTCATGTTCATGGGGACCTGAGCAGACATGCGTCCCACAAGGAGCATCTTCTCACCCGTGTCAGGGTGGAAAGCTGAATCGTAGATGTACTTTGCCCGCCAAAGCTGATCCTCTGTCAGCCCTGGGGGTACTGTGCCCGCCCTGCCAGATAAGGGTAGTACCTGTTGAAAGACCCTCTGCCAGCATACGTGCCCTACTTGGTCCCCCACAACCTTAGGGACCAGCCAGGGAGTTTGGGGGGCTGGCTTTGGCTGGGGGGACGGTCATTACAGCTTTCATTCCCACCTCTGGGGATGGCCCCAAGGTTGTATCCTGCCCAGGAGCAGTGCCAAGGGTATACCCATCCTCTCCCCGGGTACCTGTAGTCCTCCACCACCCGTCGGGCTTCCTCCAGTGTGGCCCCCGAGAGCAGCAGGTTTCGGGGGTCTGTCACCATGAAAAAGTGCTTGGCCCGGCCCTGAAAGGTGCTCTGGTCCCATCGGGGCTCACGGATGTTGATGGAGGCAGGCAAGGATGGTGGCATCTTCTGGCAGGGTGGGGCTGAAAGGATTATGTGGGATGTGGTGCCTGTGAATCCCCCGACAGCCCTGTTGGGGCAGCGCTGGAGCTCCCCCAGCCTGGGGGGACAAAGGGGTGAACAGGGAGCCTCTTTGTAATGGAGCTCAGCAGGGACCCCCGAGGCCACCCACCAGATGGGGCAGCTCGTGGGTGGTGCGACCCCACCACTGCACACTGCGATCTGTCAGTGGGAACCCCCCGAACGACCACCAGAAGTCACGGACACCCCCCCACCCAGGCAGGGCACCCCAGTCACCGGTGGGGGACGGGGACCCACCACTTCGGGGCTAGAGGTGCTGCCAGCAGCGGGAGAGCACGGAAGGGCACGGGACGGAGGAATATCCCCCGGGGAATGCACCGCCACACCCCGCACGGCGCTATTTCCGCGGCCGCCCCTCCCCGCGAGAAGCGGCGCTCAGCAGCCTCCCACCCCGCGCCGAGCATCCCTCCCGCCACGCGTGACATCCCGCGCGTAAGGACCCGGGGCACCCCCCGCACTCACGGCTCCCGGGGCAGCGCCCGCCGTGCCCGCGCTGCCGCCACCGCCCTGCTCCCGCCCGGCGCGCGGTGACGTTCGGTCTCGTCACGGGGGGGCGGCCCCGCGGCGGGCGAGGCGGGGCGGGGCAGGCGCGGGGGGCGGCGGGGACCACGCGTGACCGGGGCCGGCGGCGGGGGGAGCGGTACGTGCCGAGCCGCACGCGGCGCCCACGCGCGGGAGCGCTCGCGCGTGGGCGTGTCCGTGGGCGCTCACGTGCATGCCCGTGGCCGCGCGCGCGTGTGCGCGCTCACGTCGGCGCCTCCGCGCTCGCTCGGGTGCTCGCGTGTGCGCGTCTTCGCACGTGGGTGTTCACGTGCGGTCTCCGCGCGTCCTCGTTTCAGCAGCCGCGCGCGCGCGTTTCCGCGGGCTCGCGCGAGTTTCGATGCCTGCGCCCCGCGCGTGCCCGTAGCGCCGCGCTCGCACCCGCCGCGTTGGCGTCCACGCGTGGCGCGGCGGCTGCGCGGAAGCGCGCGCGGGGCCGCGCCTCCTCAGGAGTGGGCGCCGGCCCGAGCGCTGGGCGGTGCGTGCGGGCACACGCGTGTGTGTGAGCGGGGCCGTGTCCACGCGCGGGCGGCGCTCCGCGGGGTCTGTGAGTGCGTGGCAGGGCACGAACACGCATGCCGTGGAGGTGCGAGTGCATGGGGTGCGTGTGCCTGTGGGTGCGTGTCCCCACGCCGGCCGTGCCCCCCCAGCCCCTCACCCCGGCGTTGTCGGGGGGCGCTGCCCCGGGGCGGCCCCCCCGCGCCGGCCCCCGCCCCCGCCGCCCCCCCGCCGCCCTCCCGCAGCCCCCCCGGCCGCCGCGTATCACCTGAAACCGCCGCGGTGTCGGGTTCGCGCTGGAGGGGCCGGGCCCCTCCGGGAGGTCCGGGGGGTCACGGCCGATCGAGGGTGGAAGCGTTCCCCCCTGGGGAGGGGGACGCGGGGGGACACCGGCTCGCATCACCGGAGTTAGTGGAGCGGGGGGACGCTACACCTCTCCTCCCCTGGCCGTGCCTCAGTTTCCCCTGTGTGGCTCTGGTATGCTCCGCGCAAAGGGAGGAGGTGAGGGGGAACACCACATTCCTTGCCCCACGCAGCCTCGTGGGGGGACGCGCCCCCGGGGCACCCCCACGCCCTGCCCGTGGCGGGGGATACGCACGGGGCTGCCCCACCCCGCCAGCTGCAAGGCCGGCCCCGGCCGCTCTCGATTGACAGCTCCCGCACCCGATGGCCGCGCCGGTCCCGCTGGGAAAGCCAATCCCCGCGGGCGGGGGGGCCGGAGGCGGTGCTGCCCCCCGGCCTCGCCATCCCCCCCGCGCTGCTGCCAGGTGTCTCTTTCGCAGGTGGCACCATGGGGACAGGTGAGGAGGGCACGGGACGAGGGGGAGGGAGCGACGGCGGTAGGGGGTTCCCCTGCACCCCTTCGAGGAGGGGGGACCGGCGGCTGATGCTCGAGAGGGGCAGTGGGTGGGTGCCGTGGGGGGCTGGCAGCAGTGGGGACACCAGAGTGTCCCCTGAGCCGGGGCCATCACTTATTTATTGAGGTCAGGCTGGGGCGAGCGGGGGACGAAGCGGGGGGGTGCAGTGTGATGGCGTTTCACCCACGCCTGGAAAATCCCCGCAGGAACTGCCATAGGGAGCAGCGCACCCATCTCCTGCCCTACAGCATTGGGAATCTAGAGGAGCCCTAGGGAGGGTGGGGAGTGGCCGGAGGGGTCAGGTCCCGCTTTCTGGTGTAAAGCTGATGTCCCCGTGTCCCCTCTCCAGAGCCTTTCTGGATTTATACTGCCAAGTAAAGCCCCTTTGCACCCCCTATTCCGGATTTGCATTGCTAGGTAGAGCCCCTTTGCACCCCAGCATCCTCGCTCCAGGGCAGGGCAGCCTGTTCCCACACCCCCATGGTGTTACCCAGGAGTCATGCGACAGTTCGACCCCGAGGACACTCTAGGACGGGAGGGGATTGGGCTGGAGAGGAAGTCACGAAGCTCCTTCTCTTTCCAGGCTGTGCTGCTGAATTTGGGACCTGTCCTGCCAGCACCAAGCACCCACGCCAGCTGTCCCCAGCATCACGCTGCTAAAAGAGAGTGGTGCCCAAGCCTGGGCATGTGCTGCTGGACTATGCCATGTCCCCCGCTGGCTGACGGGCAGCCCTGGCCCCGTGAGGACACAGCCAGCCCTGAGCCAGACGCCGGGACGCCGGAGTGCCCAGCACCACCATGGCCCAGGACTGGGAGGCGGTGCTGTCAGGGATGACGGCGGGCAGCCGGTCGCGGAGCTCCAGCAGCGAGGCCAGCCTGGCTCCCCGCTTTCTCCTCAGCAAGCAGAGCCGCCTGCTCAATGGGACCACCCGGAGCACCCGCGCCACCTCCCCCATGGGCCGTGTCATCCTCATCAATGCCCCCATCGAAGGTGCGTGGTGTGTCCCAGCCCTCCACCCACCCCTATGGCCAGGAGGGCTGGGATGGCAGGGTTCCATGGGTCTGGGGGCAGGGAGGGCTGTCCAGGGACTGGGGATATCCCCAGTAAGAAAGAGCCATTGCTCACACTGAGCCTGGGTGACTCATCCATTCCCCTGTCCCCACAGCCAGCAGCAATGAGAGTGACATCATCAATGCCATCACGGTGGAGAAGAGTGCGGATGGCAAACTGGGCTTCAGTGTCCGTGGTGGCTCCGAGCATGGGTTGGGCATCTTTGTCAGCAAAGTGGAGGAGGGCAGTGCTGCCGGTAAGAGGGACAGGGCAAGAGACACCAGTGGGGCTAGGTATGTGCCAGCAAGACCCTCTTGAGAAGGTCACATTGACATGGTGCCGCAGCGACAATGCCACCCTTCACGGTGGAAAGCCACCATCTGCTCCCTACTGCCTTTTGGCCATGGGGTTTTCAGGCTGCCCACCGAGAAGAGCAGGAAACAGGAGTAGGCAGCTGTGTGCCAATTACTCTGAGCTCCATCCCCAAGCCACAGCGAGGTGGCAAGCCACCCATGCCTGCCATTGTCTCAGTGTGATTGTCAGGCATCCCCACCTCTGTTCCCATGGGGTTCAAATGAGGTCGAGGACACATTTAGGGAGGGGTTGCCAAACAAAGACATCAGTGCCAGTCAGGTGCCCACCTGAGCTGTGTGCCCCTCGCAGAGCAGGCTGGGCTGTGTGTTGGTGACAAGATAACAGAGGTGAACAGCGTGAGCCTGGAGAACATCACCATGAGCAGTGCTGTCAAGGTCCTCACCGGCAACAACCGCCTCCGCATGGTGGTCCGGCGGATGGGCCGTGTGCCAGGAATCAAGTTCTCCAAGGAGAAGACAGCATGGTGAGCGGGGCCAGCACCCCAAAACCCAACCCCTTGGAGGGCATGGCAGAGAGGCCTGGTGGGGGATGCTGGATGACAGAAGGATCCAGAGCTGGGGGAACCCCAGGGTGGGGGGCATCAGAACTCTCTAGCAAAGGTGGGGAGAGACCAGGGTGAGGTGCAGGATGAGATAGGAAGGTCTGGAGCAGGCGGGGTGGGTGCAAGCCCCATCGTAAACATTCCCCATCCCCATCACTCTCTTCCACTGGGTAACACCAATGGCCCCATCCTGCTAGAAGATGAGAGCCAGATCCCCAAGCCCCCCTACACTGTGCCCATTCTCCAGGGTGGATGTGGTGAACAGACGCCTGGTGGTGGAGAAAAGCGGCTCAACGCCATCGGAGAGTGGCTCCGAGGATGGGCTGCGGCGCATTGTCCACCTCTACACCACCTCTGATGACTACTGCCTGGGCTTCAACATCCGTGGTGGCAGGGAGTTTGGCCTCGGCATCTATGTCTCCAAGTACGGCTGACCCAGGGGGCATGAGGGGGACACAGCGCCCCAATCTGTGCTGTGCCCACACTGGGGCTCAGCACCGCCTCCCTGGCTGAGCTCCCCACCCTCAAAAGACTGTGGGCACCACCACCAAGGGTGCTGGGGCATGGGGCCTCCCACGTGGAGGTGTGGGGCAGGAGCAGAACTCTGACAAGGGTTGATCCCATGCTGTTCCCTCTGTGCCTAGGGTGGACCCTGGGGGACTGGCAGAGCAGAATGGCATTCGGGTGGGAGACCAAGTCCTTGCAGCCAATGGAGTCAAGTTTGAAGACATAAGCCATAGCAAGGCAGTGGAGGTGCTCAAGGGGCAGACCCACATCATGCTCACCATCAAGGTACCTGCACCCAGGCCTATGGGATGCTCGGGTGAGGCAAGGGTTGGTGTGTCCCCATACTGGCGCTGCCCCAGCTCGGCTCGGTGCCCGTGGGGCTGGTGCAGCTGCCGGCTGGTTGGGTTTCAGGTGGGTGGGAAGGGGCGATGCATTATTCATGGCTGGCACGGGATCGGGTTCGCTGGGACAGCCGGCATTCACTGACCCCCTTGTCCTCTTCCCCTGTGTGTAGGAGACAGGCCGGTTCCCTGCCTACAAGGAGTTGGTGGCCGAGTACTGCTGGCTCAGTCGCTGTAAGGGCAGTGCCTTGCGGGTACTGGCAGGGACGCGGGGCTGGGGCGCAGGGCTGTGGTTGGGATCCCCATGCAACTGGTGTCTTGCCACTCTGGGGAGGGAGAATATCCACATACCATGGGATCCCATGGCCTTGGAGAGGGCATTAGGACCCCTATGCCACAGCCAGCAGCCCTGCGATCTCGCAGGGTCCTACATGTCCCCGTCTTTGGAGAGTACATGATGATCCCTATGCAGTGGCCAGCAGCCCACTGGTCCCCATTACTCTGTGGGACTCCACATGTCTCGTCAAGAACGCAGAACTCCCCATGTGCCTGCCAGCAGCCCTGCAATGCCCACGGCCCTATGAGTCCCCACACGTCCCCTGTTTTGGGGGGGATGTGGAACCCTTGGTGGCCCACAGTGTGTCACACTGTGTTCATGCTATGCCTGCAGTGACCAACGGGCAGCTGCAGCAGTTGTCTCAAACCTCAGAAACCAGCTCCTCCATCTCCTCCTACTCCTCGGGGCCAGCACCAGGGACAGTAAACGGGCTGGGGATGGCTGCCCCAGGGCCCCCAGCCCGCACCGTGGATGTGGCCATCTCCACGGAGGATGGGCCGCGGCGGAGCTGGGTGCGGGAGCGCGCTGAGCGGGCCATGCAGACTGAGCCAGCCGCCGAGGGGCTGCCGGAGACGCGGCGCACGGTGCGGCCCCCTGAGCTGCTGCGGGACACGGCCATCCGGGGCCAGGGCACCCGCGAGACCCCCAGCACTCACCCACGCCGGACCTTCACCCACTCACCCAAGACAGCACTGCTGCTGGCGCTGAGCCGGCCACGGCAGCCCATTACACGCTCCCAGAGTGACCTCACCGTTGCCGGTAGGCACTGGGGCATAGCCCCACACAATGGGACTCACCCCTGGCTGGTGTCCCCCTCCAACCCTTCACCCCCAGCCCTGGGAGTCTCGCAGCTCAACCCCTGCCCCACTTGGAGTGAGTCTCCTGCTCGAGCATCCCGTAGTCCCTGACCCACATGGATACCTGGACCCTACTCCTGGACTTCCTACAGTCAAACTCTCTGGTCCTTACTCTAGCACCCTATAGCCCATATGGACCCCTGACTACTAACCCTGGGTATCCTATAGCCCCACATAGCTGCAACCCTGTCAATGGGGCTTGCCAGGCACCCCAAAGCCCAGCCCCAAGTCCCCTGGAGCCCCACTGCGCCCCACAGCAGGACTCTTTCCCAGTCAATGTCTCCCAGTAGCCCCTCCAATCCCCCAGAGTTCCCTGCCTCCAGACAAGGTTTGGGGTGGCATCCCCTGGCCTCTCCAAAGACCCCCTCTCTCTGTCCACAGAGGAGAAGCGGAAGAAGGAGAAGCCAGACGGACAAGGGGCACGGGGGGCCCCCCCAGGGCTGCACCGGTCCAAGACCCTTGTCAACCTCTTTTTCAAGGGGGGCCGTGCCACCAGCCAGAGCTGGGCCCTCCCAAGCCAGGAAGCCCCTGCCTCTGACCGCCGGGCACGCACTAAGTCCCCAGGGCGCTCCGATGGGGACAGAGGTACTGGACTGGGTGACAGGGCAGAGAGGGACTCAACCTGGGACTGGTCCCCCCTTGTATGGGCCTGTTGTGGCATCCCTGGCATGGAGGGGGCAT